GGGACAGGGACAGAAGTTTGGGGACACGGGGACACCGGCAGCAAGGAGAGGCCTGGCCGTGTGGGATCCCGCTGTCGCACGGGGTCACACAATGCCACACTTTGTCACACGGTGTCGCACGCTATCGCACGCTATCTGTCACACGGTGTCACACGGTGTCACAGATCACCGTCCCCCCCCGGGCTACAGACGGGCCTGGGGGTGCCATCCCCCATCCCTGGGGGTGCCATCCCCCATCCCTGGGTGGGCACAGCAGCCCGGGGGTCTCTACTGGGGGCGGTGTGAGGGTCCCTGGGGTGCTGTGGGACGCCCCCCGGGCTGGCCCTGACCCCCCAACCCCGCCCGGGGGAGGGCAGCTCCCCATGTCCTCGAGACCCCCACCCGCAGGGGGGTCCCCTGGGCTGGGACCCTTTGGGGTGGGGGTGGCACCCCCAGCAGGGGCAACACCGCCAAGGGGTCTCCGCTGCCCCCCGGGTTTAGGTGGCCCAGGTGTCCCAGCCCCCCAGGTGTGTTTGGCCCCCCAGGTGTGTTTGGCCCCCCAGGTGTGCCCCCAGCCCCCCGGGTGTGCCCCCAGCCCCCCGGCCGCACTCACCGCCCTCGGGCTGCTCATGGTGGGTCTGGGGGCTCGCAGGCTGCGGGGCGGCCGCCGCGGCCCCACTTTTATGGCGGGGGGTGGCGCGGGGGGCCCGCCCGGCCCCGCGGGGACAATCGGTGACCAGTTAACCCGCCCGGGTTAATGTTTGACCCCGCGCCCGCCCGGAGGGGGCTGGGGGACCCCCGGGCCGGCCCCGAGCTGGGGAGCCCCGGGAGTGACCCCGCAGGGACACGGGGAGCGGAACCGGCACGGGGGGCTGGGCACAGACCGGGGGCACCGGGCTGGCACTGCCCCGGGGGAGGGACGGGGAGCGGAACCGGCCGGAGCGGCGAGCGGGACGGCGCGGTGGCACGGGTGTGACAGGGCACGAGCGGGCTGGCACGGGTGGGCACGGACACGTGTGGGCCAGCACAGGGCACAGACACGGCCGGATGTCGGCACGTGTGGGCACAATCGGGCATGGGCACGTGTGGGCACAGGCACGGACACACGTGTGTGTGTCCTCACTGTCACCACGTCTGTCCCCACAGCCCCCGCCTGTCACCTCCTGCCCCTGAGGGACCTGGTGCCTGTTCCTGGACAAGGCTGCCCTCGTCCACCCCTGTCCCACCCCCATGGCATCACCGTGCCCCATCCCTGCCCCATGCCCGTGGGATCACCGTGTCCCATCCCTGCCCCATCCCCCTGGGATCACCGTGCCCCATCCCCGTGGGATCACCGTGCCCCATCCCCGTGGGGTCACCGTGCCCCATCCCTATAGGATCACCGTGCTCCATCCCTGTCCCATCCTATAGGATCACCGTGCCCCATCCCCCTGGGATCACCGTGCCCCATCCCTATAGGATCACCCTGCCCCATCCCGATTTTCCATCCCTGTGGGATCACCGTGCCCCATCCCGATTTCCCATCCCCGTGGGATCACCGTGCCCCATGCCCGTGGGATCACCGTGCCCCATCCCTGCCCCATGCCCGTGGGATCACCGTGCCCCATCCCGATTTTCCATCCCCGTGGGATCACCGTGCCCCATCCCGATTTCCCATCCCCGTGGGATCACCACGCTCCATCCCAGCTCCTCCTCACACGCTTTGTTTATTCCACACCACCCGGGATTCCCGGGAAGCAGCGACGCTCCGCGGGCCGGGCCGGGAGGGGTCGGGCACCCACCGGGCTCAGCGGGGGCACCCAGGGGAGGGGACAGAGGCCTGGGGACCCCCGCGCCCCTCGGCTGCTCCATGGGGGCTGGGAAGTCCCGGGACACCCATGGGGTGGGCACGGCTGCTGGTGGCATCCCTGGGATGCCATCCCACATCTCGGGACACCCGGGGGACACCTTGAGACATTCCTGGGACACCCCGAGGATGGACAGCCAGGGACAGCTCCGTTCGGGGGGCACCCAGGGGACATCCTGCCCCAGACCTCCTGGGACATTCCGGTCTTCTGGGGAATGGGAGGATTGGGGTGTCCCGGGATTGGGGTGCCCTGGGAATGGGATGCTCTGGGAATGGGGTGCCCCTGGGAATGGAGTGCTCTAGGAATGGGGTGCCCCTGGGAATGGGGTGCTCCGGGAATGGGGTGCTCTGGGAATGGGGTGC